ATTTTTTCATGGTAAAATAACAAGTGCCCGCCTACCCTGCAGGCACTACACCAACCTAGCCCAATAACCTGGCAACAGGCACCAAGCTCAGCACCATTCCACCAATCCTGTTTTGCAAATTGTCAGAGAGGTTTCATGACCTTCTCGAGGCCAAACAGATTCTGAGTGAGGGAACCCAAGATCTGAATTCTGGGCTGGCTCCAGGATCTGCCCTTACCATGAGATTGTTCCAGAATCCCCCCCCATATAATTAGTGATTTTTTTTGTTTTATCATGTAGTTTTTTAGTGTTTGTATGTGTGTATGTCTCGTGTGTGTGTGTATGTGTGTGCGTGAGTGTGTGTGCATTCACACACGTGTGTATGTGTGTGCGTGTGTGTACGTTTGCTACAGTGGAAACCAACCAGATCAGTTCTCTCCTTCTATCATGTGGCTCCCAGGGATGAAACTAAGTCATCAGATTCAGATGTAAGTGCCTTTACCCACTGAGTCATCTCACTGGCTGAGATTATTGTTATTAATATTAGCAGTAGTAGTAATAGTATTTGTACAAAATGGAAAACTATACTTACATGCGAATAATTAAGAAAGAATAAACTAGCCACGCATACGTTAATTCTAAAAATACCAGCTCAGATGATGTTCAAAGTTCAAGCCCGATTGGTCAGGGCTGATGGGTACGTTCAGGCAGCCAACTGAAAGGAGGGCACAGCTCAGTGTTGCAAAACCATTAATTAGCCAAGAATCCTGGAGAGATGCAGGGAGGACGCAGCTCCAACTGCTCATCTCCTAGGAGATGGAGCCTCCCGAAAGCTGTACGGATTATAATAAGATATGAGGAGAAATGTGTGAGCTTTTAATAACGCTAACAGACAAGATCAATAACGTAAAACAACATCACGAGGGGCTCAGCGGTAGAACAACAGCCCAGCAAGATGTTCATGCACACAGCTGGCAGCGAGATTCCCAGAAGCCCCAGAGGCAAACCCTTGTGGAGGGTACGTCTGTAAATTGTACTGGGAGGCTGTGTTGAATGGGTACTACTCATTCTGATAGTCTGCAGTCCTGTAGGGGCTCTTCAGAGAAGAACCTTTGATTAGGTGTGGCATGTAATAACCCCCAACCAGAGGGCTGGAGAGAAGGTCCCGTGGGTAAGATGCTTGCTTCCCAAGCATGAGGGTTTGAATTTGGATTTCCAGCATCCATGTAAAAATCTGTGTGTAGTAGTCTACACCCATAATCCCAGGACCAAGGAGGCAGAAAGCTGTTGGGGTGGACATCTGATGTCAGACACACACACACACACACACACACACACACACACACACGTATGTACATGCATGCATGTACATGCACACATGCACTAACCCAAACCATGAAAACTATCAAACAGCTACAGTGAAAACTTGGCAAGAAATAAAAACAAGTGTACAAAACCTACAAGGTGGTACTTGGCAGAGCACTGGGTGGACTTGTGGTTTAGAACGGGTTTTTAGTGAGTCAGGAGGATACCTGTAAGCCTTACTTCTTTGAATGCTTCCTCTGCTTTTAATGCTGCCTGACATGCTCTCAAAGCTTATATACAATCTACCCAGCAACTGCTGCTGCTGCTGCTGATGACGGCAACGATGATGACGGTGACTGCCCATGGGGCTCATTTCTGTGTCCCGTCCCCTCAATGACTTCCCACAATGCATCTCAGTTGGAGGGCATTACCCAGGGACTCTCAGAACTCATCTTCTTATGTCCCAAGAAGGACCTTGGGCATAGCTACCTCATCCTCACCCTGGCACAGTCCTACGTAATGGCTAACAAGATGTGAGGGATGCAGATACTCTTGGTCCTTCATCTTCGTAATTCCGAGGCATCTTCCATAATTCCGAGCTCTTCTAGAACTTTCTCCCGGTATCAGCATCCGATAGCTGTCTAGACAGCATTCTCATTGCTGATTGCGAGATCACTTCTTTGATCCAAAGTAAATGTCCATTGTTTTAGAATTCCTCCCAACTATTCACTTTGTGGTCTGTTCTTGTTTTTGAGATATCATTTCACTGTGTAGCACTGGCTGGCCTGGAACTCACTATGTAAATAAGGCTGCCCACAAACTCCTAGAGATATGGCTGCCTCGACCTCCAGAGTGCTAGAATTAAAGCCATTCACCACCACAGCCAGCTAACCAAGTCTTTAATATATTGCTCACACTTAACCTTTATCAGAGAAGCTTCTAGAGCAAACCCAGCTGGGACTGCATTCATTATTGCGGTTTAACTTAATTAAGGGTAATTAGTTAAGTTTGTAAGCACTATTTACATTAGCAAAAGATTGTTTTAAGAATTTGCCAATAATCTACTAGATGACTTTATCAAGTGGGACGGAAGGCATGGCACATGGATTCCTAGTTGTTTGCAAGCGGGCTCAAAATCCCTCTACAAAAATCAACACTGGGTGGGCAAACTTGTCTGGAGACAGGCTGAATGTTCGTTCCTGAACTCCCCAGGGAGAGCTGAGACTTCACTATCTCTGTCCTCACAGCATTTGGTGCATACATTGCTGCAACACTGCATACTGTGCTGTGTCATACTCTCTCTCTCTCTCTCTCTCTCTCTCTCTGTGTGTGTGTGTGTGTGTGTGTGTGTGTGTGTGTGTGTATGTGTGTCCCCAAGATTCCAGTCCAAGTTCCTGAAAGCTTGGGACCAAGATTTCTTTGCCTCTGCCAGCCCCACTCCACATTCTAATCTTGTCAAGTCAGTGGCTGTGATAGCCAGTTGTTGACAAAAGGAATAAAGGAATGACTGAGGAAGGAAGTGTCTGTCCCATCTGATCGACTCTGTGTCCTGTTGACAGAAACTACTCTATTAGCTGTCAAAACTGTTCCTGTGCTTTGTAGACGTTCTAGTAAACAGTTGGGTGTTGGCATTGAAAACTGAACGTCTAAACAAATGAGTGGATGGATTAGCGAATAAATAGAGCACAGACGTGTGACAACCCCAGACTGTTTTTGAGCAAAACCATCAGAGGTGGCTGACTGGCTTTGTGCTTGTTGGTGGGGTGTAGCCGAGCTTGGTTGTCATCTGTTTTGTAAATATAACAATGGGCAGTGTGTCACTAACTTGCATCATACTGATTCTAGTTAAGTGTCCCGGCTTCTTAGGACAATTTCCAGTCTTGCCTTTTCATTCACATTTTAAATATTATTTTCCATGCTTTGGCTTTGTTTATAAACAGCCAATCTATCCTCTCACAGGGGTGCTTGTCCAGTCAGTCCTCGGCATACCTAGAGGTGCAGTCATTCAACTATCTTAATCAGGGGCTAGTCTTCCTTAGCCTGCTGTCTCTTGGGGCCTGTAGTTGTTTGTTTTGTTTGTTGGGTTTTTTTTTGTAAATAAAGTTTTATTGAAACACAGCCATGGCTGTTTGTTTTGTGCTGTTTGCTGTTGCTTTCACACTACAAAGTCTGTAATGGCAGGATGGAATGGCAGAAACCCTCTGCCTATTTAGTCACAAATATAAATTATCTGGTCCTTTAGAGAAAAGAAAAAAAAACAGATTATTCTTCCAGAGGGAGCCCAAATGGAAGGAAAGCCACATCACACTATCATGCATTCAGGTGTGCAAAGAGTTTGTCATGTACCCTTATAAGATGAAGACTCCATGTGCTCCTTTTCCATCTTCTCCCTATAGACAGTCATACTGACAAGAAGTAAACAGGTCTATGCAGAATAATGGTGCTAGTGAACCTCACACAATTTCTACTGATTGTGTATTTTGTTTCTTAGAACAAAATATTTATAGAACATATATTTGATCCTCCTTTTTATTTTCCATTCTGTCTCTATGGTAATTATTATCTAACTCTCCTTTGCTGGAAAACACCAGAACGGCGTGGTGCCTGAACCCCATGGGATGCTGTATTGTACTCTCCTCGGTGATGCACTAACCTCAGTGATGCTGTATTGTACTATCAACTAGATCTCTCTAAGAGCCCCATGCTTCTCAACTGTAAAACAGTATTTCTTTTCAGCTAATATGGGGATTAAATGAAATAATTAGTAGCTGGAAGAAAAGACTATACTTAACGTAATTAGGGCTTTCGAGGTACTGTGCTAAGTGCTTTTAGTATGCATTATTTCATTTGACTCTCCCCAAGCATAATAAATGTTGTCCCTTCTCGAGGGCCGAGGCGGGGATATATAGGGACTCCATGTATTCCCTCAGCAAGTATTTAAGTTACTTGGTTTTTAAATCGACAAAATAAACGAGTTGTGCATGGTCCTTCTTGCCTATAATCCCAGCACCCAGTAGGACTGAGTTCTAGGCTATCCCGAGCCACATAGTAAGACCCTGTTTCTAAATAAAGAAATAAATTTGAAGAATACATAATGTTTCAAAATTCATGCACTTTGTATAATGGCTAAAGCAAGCTATTTAACTTATAGACTGCCTTCATTTATCAATTATTTGTGACAAGGACACTAACAATTCTGTCCTCATAGCAGTTTTTAAGTATACAGTACATTTTGAACAGTTTTGTTTCTGTGTATTCTGCTTGCTCTATGGAGACTTTGTATCACCTACTCTGCATCTCCTTCTATGCTCCCACTCCTGCCCCCACCCTGGCCACATCTGGCTTGCGTTACACAGTAACCATTCCTGGACTCTCTTCTTCTCTTGTGCCTGGTTTTGGCATCCAACATGTAAATGGAACCATGCAGCATTTTTTCCCACTTCTGCCTGTTTTGTTTTCTCTTAATGCAGTGTCCTCCAGCTTCGAGCAAGGATAGCATTGCCTCCATTATCTTCGAGACCTGAGTACTACTCCATGAAGTGCTGATGGTTCTTTAGCATCCTGATTTAATTGACTTTGGATATATATGTCACTATTAGTAGTAACTGAATCATTTGCGGGATCTGTTTTTAATTTCTTTGAGGAAAGTTCTTACCATGTTCTCAAATGGCAGCACTAATATATCTCTGCCAATAAGTAAAGGTTCCATTTTTTTTAGCCTCTGGCAATGGGCAAAGAGACACCTTGTTGGTGATGGTATTCTTCTATCAGCCAGAGGCAGAGCAGATGGCAATTCTTTGTTCATCCTAGCTTGTTACCTGGCTTGGTGCAGAGCTGTTTTATGCCTAGCATTCATTAAAAAAAAATCAAACCAAATCAAATCAAATCTGGGGAACACAGCACGTAGAAAGAGGAAGACAGAGAACTGCAGGCTCCCAAGCCACCCACAGACCTGTCCTTTGGTGCATGGCACAGGGCGGAGGGGAGGGGGAGGAATAGATACCTGCATGCTGACATACCATTCAACATGGATGGAAAATGTCACCTAGGAGCCTGCCAGCTGTGTGGCCAGCCTGCAGCTGGAGCCACCACAGTGTGCGATTGTGTCGTGGTCGGATGGGAGAGGAAGAGAAGTGGAGCATCTTGAGCACTGTGAGAAGAGATGGAACTGGAGACTCAAGGATGGAGAGGAGTAGCCTGCTATGCGTGGCTAGCCCTGCCACCAGGAGTCATGGTGAGGTTCCAGTCAGAATTGCCACTTTGGTCCATGTCTGAGTCCATGGCTATGCAGTGGTAGGGGTCAAGAGTTGATATCCTTGACTCATATTACAACTAGAGAACATGGGAATCTCCTCGGTTGGAGGCAGCCACCAGGGACCACGTTGATATCCAGGGGCTGTGTATAACAAGCACTGCCCCTCACTACATGGGATGCTTTAGAGAGTTGGCCCCAAGTCTTACCACTGGCAGCACTCACCTGTGCCTTGCCCAAGCAGCACAGTGGAGCTGGACCTGATGGCAGCAGTGTGGGTGTGTGGGTGAGCTGCCCCCAAAGGTATGAGTGTGGGAGGAGAGCTGACCCCACCACTCATCTGCCATGGGGGAGCATGCATGGGTGCAGAGGTGATCCCCATGCCCAATGCCCCTCACCACCTCTGGCAGTCGGGAAAGCTCCTCACAGAGTAATGAGCTCAGGAGAGCTAGCCCTGCCCCTCACCCTGAGTTGGAGCACTCAGGAGAGTAAGCCCTGAACATCACCTGAACAGCACAGCAGAGCGGACCATGGTGGGGGTGGGGGTGGGGGTGGGGGTAGGTGAGCCAGCTCCAAGGGCTAGAGTGTGGGAGATCTGGTCCTGACAGGCATGTACTATGAGGTGGCATGTGTGTGTAGGGTGCCCTCTCCTCTTGACACCTTCTGAAGTCAGAAGAGCGGACCCTGGGCTCATGAGAGTTGATAAGCTGGCTCTGTCCTTCACTGGCTGCAGCACTTGGAAGAGTGGGCCCCACGCTTTGACTGAGCAGCACAGTGGAGCTGGCTCAGGAGGCATAGGTGCAAATAAGTAGACCCCGAGGGCATGAAACCAGGAGAGCAGTCCCTGATTCCTGCTGATGGCAGCCTTGGATGGTGTAGCCAGGACAGTGCTGGAGAGTTTGCTCTGATGATGCTGATAAGGGAGAGATGATGGGCTGACCAGCTCTGCTACCCCAGGGCCCAGATCCAGTGCTCTGAGGTGGCCCACCCTGAAATCTGTGTCATCTGAGAATGGTCGGGATGCATGAAAGTGCCAGTCCAGCTGTTCCAAAGCTGCAGGATCCCTATGACATACAAGAACATGATAACTGGGAGGAGTGTCAATGAGGATCCAATATTGAAGGTGTCACAGAAGCCAGAGGTCTTGACCCAGATCCACGACTCCAATGGTCTCAGATACGTTGATACATAAGACACACAATACGAACAAACACATTGAGTATGTTTAAAGGTGATAAATGCCGTAGGGAAAATCTAAAATAGGGAAAGGGTGATCGGAAATGCTGGGGGTCGGAATGACAAAGGAGAGGTTATGGATAAACGTGTCCAAAAGGTGTTGACAGAAATGAAGGCTTGGAAGAGGGATGCCAATCAGCCTGATAGACAGCAGGGACAAGCCTCATGGACTCCCTAGGCTTGTTAGCAGAGAGCTAGAAAGCTAAGTTCTAACACACTCCAGAGCTCAAACATACCAACAAAACGTGAGTACCCTGCTTAGGCTTTCTAGGGACATACTCAGGTCTCTGGCTGTTGCCCATATCAGTTCTGGACTTTGCCCTTCCCTGAACATTTCTCTCAGGTCATTGGTCACATGCTAGTCCCTGTCTTTATAATTGGATCGTCTAAGACCCGATGAAGGGTCATGGTTCTACATGGCTGGCTGCACCTCTTTCCCTTCTTGCTTGGGCTACTTGTGACTTCATCTTTTCAGTCTGTCTTTAGAATCTTCTAGACCTTGTAGGTTCCGTGAGCGCTTGGCCTATGAGACATCATGCCTTCTCTTTCCCTGTGTGAAGCCGACAGTTACAGGGTTGTCTTATTTGTGCTGGTTGGCTGAAGGAGGCAGAATGTCTTTCTATCATTTACAGTCCCAGAGCTCTGCTCATGTTTTAAAATATTTATTTGCTAAGAATGTGGGTACACACCTGTCAGGGCTTATGTCTCTTTTCTCATGATTAATAATCTTGAGAAAGGTACCACAGAGATGTTCTCAGAAGTCAAGAGCACTCTCTGCTCTTTCAGGGAGCCGGAACCCACTTTAGACAGCTCACAACTACCTGTACCTCAGGCTTCCTGGGATCTAATACTCACTTCTGGTTTCTACCCATAAAGTATACATCTACACAGATACAAACAAATATACATATACATTAACTAAAAAAAAAATCAAGAAAAGGGGCTGGAGAGATATTCAACAGTTAAAAGAGTATTTACTTCTCTGTCAGAGGACCTGAGTTTGGTTCCTAGCACCATTGTCAGGGTGCTCACATGGGGCTCCAATCCAGAGGATAGAGTGCCTTCTTCTGACCTTCTCAGAGTCCTGCACACATGTGCACAAACTCCCATAAAATTGAAAATAAAATAAACATGTTGAGGCAGGGTCTCAATATGGAGCCAGCCATGTAACTGGATATGTTAACCAGGCTGGCCTCATGCTCACAGTGATCCACCTGCCTCTGCTTCCATAGTGCTGCCTGTACCACTACACTCAGCTAATAGAATAGATCTTGAAGGAATAGAATCCAAGGAAAGTTGTTTCATCTCCAGGGTCACAGGTCATCATCGCCTTGCACCATTGGCTTTAAGAAGATTAAATGGTAGGGGCGACCTAGTCCCTGTATTTTCAGGCATATTCGACTCTCTGCCATTTCTGCATCAGTTAAATGACGATGGAAAATGGAGCCCACCTCATCTGGTTGTTTTGAGGTAAATGTGAAGTGTACACATTAGTGTAGGGCCCGGCCTTGACAGCAGACAGCCTTGTACATATCAGCTCCTGAAGATGGAACGCTGTGTTAGAGAGAGATCGGTTGCCTTTGGCCTAGCTCTGCTGCTTCTTGGTGTGTGCCTCTGGGTGCCAACCCACACTCCCTGCACTGAGAGGGGGGGATGGTGACAGAATGTTGAGTGGCATGTGAGACAAAAGAATACAAAAGTGTAAAAGAATATGCGTCCTTGAATAATAATGCCGATTGCAATATTAAGTGACATGAGACTACATTTATGAAAAGGTTGATATATCATCAGTTTAATTACTGAGTCAGATGAACTGTATAGAACTAAACTGTTCTATAATTTGTCAATATGAGTATTAAATGGGATATATAGATATATGTATACATATATATGTATGTATATATATATATATATACATATATATATATATATGTATGTATATATTAGCAGTAGAAAATTTAATGGACTGATTGTACAAGAGGTTACTATAGTATCAGACACACCAGTGTTAACATTGTTGATGGTCCTGGTGGGATCATAGCACCATCAGCACCTCATCCTTGTTAGGATGCGCTGTTGCCAATGGTGTCTGATGCTCCTGTCCTGGATGCTACCAAGAAAGCACGTAATAGCCCTAATCCAGATCACACCGCATCTTCTCTTAGACATATACTTATCATTCTCTGATTGTCTCTTATTCAATATCTCCATGAACTTTTATTTGAAAGTAGCTCCAGACTGGGTGGATGGCTCAGTTGCCAATGTGCTTGTTTTGAAAGCATGAAGAGCAAAATTCAATCATCAGAATCAATCTAGGAAAAGAAATTGCTGGGCCTGGTGGCACATGTTTGTAGTCCCAGTGCTGAGGAGACAAAGACAGGTCCTGGAGTTTACTGGCCAGCCAGCCTAGCCTTCTACCTGTGCTCCAGGCACATAAGAGGCCCTGTCTCATAAACCAAAATAAATGGTATCTAAGAACAAGAGACAAAGACTTTTCAGGGCTCAACCTACCTGTGCCCCTCCTCACACACAGTCACAAAGACAGTGGCTCTAAACATGAGGACCTCCTTCTGGTTAGGATGGCCAAAGGAAAGTCCTAAGACAGGGGAGAGAGGATGGGGGGTGCCCTGGGCTTGATTTAAGCTTCTGATGAGGCACCCTTCCCTTTGTAAGAGTCTTCTGCCTTGTCCCCAAGTCTGACCCACTAGACTCTGTTCTGTGAGGACAGAAAGTGCCTGTGTAAATTCTTTACCCTCAAGTACCAGCTATCCGTAAATGTCAATAGTTGGGTTTCATGAAATGGATGCTGTGATAAATTGCATTTTATGAAAAAAAAAATCTCCTAAACCTGCCTGGTGCTCTAGCTATCAATAGACAGCCTCAGTCTCTCTGAGCAGTAGTTCTAGACATAAAGGCTCTTAAAACTCCCATCCACAAGCTGTGAGCGTGCCGGGCACGGCTTTCCACTGGATGGTGCACGGGGCCCCAGATGGCTGAGGCTTTTATTTCACAGCACATACATTTCTGAGTTCCAATTAATTGAATAGGGAAAAGCCGTAAACTTCATGCCAGAAGAACCATCTCTTTGACGGAATCCGAAGAGTGCTGAACCAAAGCTCCCTCCCCGCCTCCTTGTTTACGCATGTGAGGCTGAATAGCCATTGTGGCTGATTTTCCCATTGTAATATATTTGGTTCAATAGCTAGGAGTTCTGATGTTGTACACATATAGGCCAGAGGGTCCTGTGGGGAAACATTTTTCCATGACATAATTACCTAGAGCACCATGGGATAGCACAGGAATCCCAAAGATGCCAGCGCTTACATTCCAGGTTGCCTTTCTCCTCTCAAATTCAAAATTTCATTTTCTC